CACTCACTCTCACACATACATTGAAGAAACTATAAACCTAATTAACTAACGACATCGTGTATGAACCATGCAATTAAGGCACGTAATTACATACAATTCAACCCGTCATTCTTAAACTTTAATGAAAATTCTAATTGGCTTGCAGAATTTGAAATTGTATTCGGGGTGTATTAATTCCAGGGGCTTGTAACACATTAAATTCATTACTGGAGTTTTTTCCCCTGCCTTAATATGGGCACACAATCATGTCAAGGCTAATGGACACATGAAATGGTTTCTAGAATTGATGTCGAATGCAGGAGGTTAATAAAAAAAATTAGATTATGAAATCGTTTTTTTTTTTAATCTAGTGGAATGCCCACGTTTATAGTTAAAATTTTTTTTTAAATTCAGGTCTTCATTTTCTTGACGGTAATGTGAGATGGCTTCAATGGATATATTTTTGTATAAAATTAAAAGCTTTTAATTAAATTCGTTAATTAAGTTAACATTGTGACGTACAGTGCAGATTTGAAAGGGTTTTAATTTTTTATTTGCTAAACCACTGTGTCTCAAATTATGATGGAGCACCCCCCCCCCCCTCCCTAATATGTTATCTTATACTGCAGACATTTTTAGTAGTTTTTTTTTAATTATTTTATTTCAGTGAGCTAAATAGTTCTTGATACTATTTCGTATTTTAGCTCCTATGAATGATGAATGCCTTAGTAGTCAACTATTTATTTCCTATTTTAAATTATGTTGGCCTATTCAAAAATGATTTTATATAGAAATCAACATTGTGACTTTAAGTGCTCAATAGTTTTAGAACCACTGATACCTTTTATCAGCAGTCAAGTTAGGTTAGTCCATCGTCCCTCCTGGGACATGGGTCTTTTTACTAGCAGTACATGTACTTTGCCATCAAGAACTCCAGACTAAACAAAGATGGGTACAAAAAAATCACTGCTCAGTCAAAGCACGAACTACGCATACAATATTTGTTTCACATACATCTCACAACACGCATATAGCGAGACTCATGTCAGTGACTTCTATAGCCCCCAGCTCTGAGGGTTTTGTTTAGGATTAGTTCCCTTGGCCAGATAATTTTCTGACAGGACGTGTTGGGAGTACCAGATGCAGTTGGACACTGGGCGATGACGTACAGTACAGGCGTGTGTTTTATATGAGAGTTAGTGCAGGGTGTGTAATTGTTGTACACACTACAGCTCACATATGTGTGTTATTATTGTACACACTACAGCTCACATAGTGTGTAATTATTGTACACACTACAGCTCACATATCTGTGTAATTATTGTACACACTACAGCACACATAAGTGTGTATTATTGTACACACTACAGCTGACATAAGTGTGTAATTATTGTACAAACTACAGCTCACATGGTTGTGTACTCTAGTGCTTCTTAAATATATATACAAGGTTATGTTACAACAATAGAGCATCTGCTATAGCAGAGTAACTTCAAGTACTCTCTGTTAAAAGGATTTAAAGGTCGTTTAAAATATGGATACACATTGAATTAGACCTAATGGTCCATGGCAAGGCAGGTTATTGAATTAGGGTATTGAGTGGTAAGGATAGCTCTTGAATTAGATGTGATAGGCAACTGTAAGGCTAGGTGTTGGGTTAGACACAATGGTTTGTGGTCAGGTCAGGCATTGAATTAGAACAAATGGTCGAATAATATATGATGGTCAAAAGTTAAGTGACACTAGACAACGAGCTAGACCTTATCTTGTTTAGTTTAGAAACTAGACTAACCTTAGGTTCATCGATACAATGCAATAAGACATTGTAGATGTGTAGGCCTATATGTGATTAGATCCGCTATTGTTGTATGAGGCAAGGTACTGAACTAGTCGAAACGGCCCACCTTTAGATTCGATTCGTCCATGAATTGAGACACCAACCAACAGCACAGGTTTACACCCGTACTTGTAATCGGGTTTAGCAATCAAATGAAAAAACCCTCTGTAATCGATACCCACATTATTTTCAATCAATGTTTTTTGTTCCATTTCGAGGCGTTGTTCCCTGGTTCTTTAGAAGTTCAGATTAAATTTATGCTCGTTTTAAATCCATTTCTTCTTGTTGCGGGCTTTTGTGTTTCAATTTTAAATACATTTTTTCGCGTTCCGTGGAATTGTGTTCTTATTTGGCCACTCTGTGCGGCCAACTGATCTGGCCAGTGTCATGTTACCTATTTGTTTGTGCTCCTCTGATCAGGGAGCGGATCCGCCATTATCGCCTTTGACCAGGGGACAAGACAGTGGGTAATGATTTGTCTCTGGGAGTTGTCTTCGTGTGTGTGTGTGTGTGGATATGTGTGTGTGGATATGTGTGTGGGGGACTGTGGTTGTATGTGATCGTGTGTGCGGTTGTGTGCGTGGTTGTGTGTGTGTGTGTCTCTCTCTCTCCCTGTGTCTGTGTGTCTGTGTGTGGCTGTGTGGGGTACTGTGGTTGGATGTGATCGTGTGTGCGGTTGTGTGCGTGGTTGTTTGTGTGTGTGTGTCTCTCTCTCTGTGTGTGGCTATGTGTGTGTGGATGTGTGGGGGTACTGTGGTTGTATATGATCGTGTGTGAGGTCGTGTGCGTGTGTGGATGTGTGAGGTTGTGTTAACTAATTTAAAACGGGATTCGCGTGGACACGACTTAAAAGAGATGTGAGAGGGGTAGGGTGGGGGAGGGGATAGAGTGGAGTGGGGTGGGGTGGCCGATAGACATGAGACAGTACATAGGAAAGAGTGTTTTGAAGAACAGAATACTAAAACTGCTATCATTACCTGAGTAAGACGTTAAAACGTTACTATTTTTAACTGAACGCTAAAGTGTCGTCATAAAATGTCGTCACAAACACAGATGGAAGGAAAGGGGATCAAGAATTCATAAACTATGTCTGACGAGAATGAGGGTGCTATGGACTGTCCCATCATTCGAGAGAAACAAAACATTGACCCAAATTCTGCTAGCCTTTACCTAAACATGCAATTAACTTAACCAGTAGCTACCCTAAATTTGGATCAACCCAAACCTTAATCTTGACTGCTGCAGCATGAGAAACACTTTGTTCAAACTTTTCCAATGCCAACTTTTATCCAGTAGAGCTCATGGTTACTTACCTTAAAATTTTCGACCCCCCCCCCCCCCCCTCCCGGGCGGATGAGGCTTGAGGGAGCATCTAGGAGAGAAAAATTCAAAGCTTACAATGAGAATCATTTATGGCTGAATCAACATACCTATGTCAGTGTTACCTACGTCCACCTCAACCCTCCCACCCAGCGCACACACATCCGTATACACCCAGCTATCCCACATCACTCACTACCACACGACTCCCCCACACACCTCATACCCCACTCCCCAACGAGTCTCCCACCCATATACTTCACACCCTTCCCACCCTACTCCCCCACTCCCTCCACCAAACTCCCCACTCTTTCCCACCAGCTTCCCCACACCCCTCCCTCCAGCTCCCCTACATCCATCTCACCCCCCCCCCCCTCCTCACCCCTCCATCAAAACCTCCCTGTCATTAAAAAATTTGGTACCGGAAATAGATATAAGCAGACGACAAGCTTTAAACATCTTGTAAATCCTGGATTCCCGCCTTTTTTTAACGCCCAATTCCCCCGTTATTTGTCTCCCGTCCAGCTTACGAGGAAGAAGGGAAGGGGGAAGAGAAAAAGTGGGAATTCCCACTTCTATTTTAAGTAACAGGGACCGCCGGAATGTGTGAGCAGGGCTATCGTCTACCAACGCCTGATGAATACTATATCGATCCCGTCTCTGGTGATCAATGGGGAATACAAACAGGTTTAAAATTCAATGCCTTCATCCGGGTTACGACGCCCGCCCGACCCCCCCCCCCCCCCACCCCCACCCCAACTTCCACGACCGCGAGGAAATTTACAGGACAAAATCACACAGGAAATGGTCGAGGACTGAGGAACAAAGTCTGGGGAAATTAAATGCCGAGTTCCGGTAGTTCTCTCCCCTTGTGGTTATTCAAACCGCCGCGGCGGCTGGGGTTACGGAAAAATAATTTCGTTTTTGTTCGACACTTTTTGACATTAGAGTTTCGGTAAACGGAAAATTGTGTTGGTGATGTAGTCTGTCTCTCGTATTGTAGCAAGTTGCTGCTGATCAAAAGGTTTGACAAATTGTTCGTGTGTAACTAAAAATGCCTGTCTGAAAACTAAAGTGATGGGAAATCAAATGAAATGAATTGCAATTTCAACTTTTAACATTTTAACATTTTTTAAAGAATTAAGTACAAGTTATCTAAAGATAGTTTTCTAATAAAGATTTAGATTTTCAGACATAGAAGGTTTGATTTAAAATTTAGAAGACTATTAAAATATTTTTTAAACTTGGTCAAATTCTTAAAAGTCAAAATGAATATATTGTTGTAAAGTGGGTAAAATATTAACAAGACGTAGGGCTACGGCTATGAGAAACGTGAACCCCCCCCCCCCCCCTCCTCTCTCTCACCCACAGTTCTGACCATGGACAGTTATTTTTGGAATGTCTTCCCAAGCGAAGTCTGCCGTTATGAAAGTCTGCACACCGGAAATCAGTTTAGAGGGGTGGGGAGAGAGATTTGTCATTGACAAGTCTGCCGTTAAAAAAGTCTGCACGAGAGACGTCTGAATTGGGGAAATCTGTCACGACTAATGACAGCGTTGAATGTGTGTGGTTTAGACAATACTTAGCACTATGTTCTTTTTTACAATATACAAGATACTTACTTATATATATATATATATATATATATATATATATATATATATATATATATATATATATATATATATATATAATATTATGTTATATATATATATATATATATATATTATTTTATTTATTTATTTATTTATTTATTTATATATAATATTATGATTAATATGTATATATATATATATATATATATATATATATATATATATATATATGAACGTACATAACATTTTCTCTCCCAACAGACCCCAGGGTGTGGCGTGTGCTCCCGTGTCATGAGCTCTAACCCCCAGTACCCACCCCGTCTGACGACACATGCAGGAACTTTGCTGAGTCTTGAGGGCGAGTGGGTGAGCACTCGATGCGAGTCGCGTCAGTACGGCATGTTTTTAACAAGGTGAGTAGTGGCTCGTGTCCATGGTGTGGGCACACATCACGTGCGTAGTGTGGGATACCTCGTGTGGGGGGTTTGTGTGGGAAAGTCCTGAGTCTCTCCTTAATGTCGAGACCTACTTCCTGGACATACAGCCTCCTCATACAGAGACCAGCACATACGCTATTATGCACAACCTCCCTCACACAGCCTGCCACACACAGCCTCGCACACACAGCCTCGCACACACAGCCTCCCACACACAGCCTCCCACACACACAGCCTCCCTCACACAACCTCCCACACATACAGCCTCTCACATACACCATCCCACACAACTCCTCACATAGCCCCTCACACACACACATCTAGCCGCCTTCACAGAGCCCTTGTGCACACAGGTCTTCCGACATCATGCGCACGAATATCCCCCCCCCCCCCCCCCACCCCAATAACCCTTCCCCCCCCCCCCCACACACACACACATCTCACACCAATCTAATGATTTAACTCAATCAAACTCGGACAAATCTGTGACAGACATCTCGTCAATTTCCTTCGTCCTCCGGCCTAAGCTGACAGACATGACGGGGGTCGGGGAGGGGGGGGTGGGGGAGTGTGATAAGCTCGTTAGAGCAACATGGCAGTCGTGTTAATTGCACGCACGTGAACCTCTGCCCGGAAGGCAATCTTTGCTTTCTGCATCCGGGTCAGTTCGGAAATGGATTATCTCTTCCACAGCAGCTTGCATTAAATACTTTATCTAGACAGAAATCTGATGTATATAAATGGTTTATCTAGACAGAAATCTGATGCTTATAAATGATTTATCTACACACAAATCTGATGAATATAAGAGGTTTATCTATACACACGTCTGTTTTTGATAAATGTTTTTATCTATGGGGTCATCCATAAATGACGTCACACTCGTATGGGGAGGGGGGATACGTAATTTTGTAACGATGTGTGATGAGGGGGAGGGGGGGGGGGTTCAGATGTTGCGACGTCACATTTTTGCATTATAAAAAAGCAATGTTAGAAAACTAATCTTAGATGTTATTTCGCGTTTTAGATAACTGTTTAAATAAATTGTAATAGTTTAGACAAGATTTTGGAAAAATATCGATGTTTAAAAAAAAATTCAACTGCAATTTTGAGGGGGTTTGTAGGTTGAGGTGTGACGTAATTTAAGGGGGGGGGGTTGGCTTTTTGTGACGATGTGTGACGTAGGTGAGGAGGGGGGGGGGTAAAAATCGTCAAAAAAGCGTGACGTCATTTATGGATGACCCCTATACACACATTTCATGGTATAAGTTTTGCACAAGACACAAATCTGATGGTAATAAATATGTTATTTATACATGAATCTAATGGGTTGTATTTCTATGTAAAAACTTAATGCCGTTTCTCACTTAACTATTAGTGTTAGAATTAGCTAGTATTAGATAGATCAGCAATCATTTTTATTAAAAAATGTTTTATTTGTTGTTTTTATTTTTTTCAACTGTTGTTTCAAAATGTAACTCACGTGCCCCGGATCTACTGTATTTCACCCACCAGGTGGCTCCACTTCCTGTCCGATGGCTCCTCCTGGCAGGGCCAGTACGACTACTACCACGACGCCCTCTGCCGGCATCCGTCGTTCTCCCTCAACGCTAAAGGCAACTACGCCGGCGGCACCGAGTCTCTCCTGGTCCATGGTGCTAAGGACTACAGCTTTAAGGTAGCCGTCGTGTCGTGTGGTATCGTGTCGTGTAGTATCGTGTCGTGTAGTATCGTGTAGTATCGTGTCGTGTAGTATCGTGTCGTGTAGTATCGTGTCGTGTAGTATCGTGTCGTCTAGTATCGTGTCGTGTAGTATCGTGTCGTCTAGTATCGTGTCGTGTAGTATTGTGTCGTGTAGTATCGTGTCGTGTAGTATCGTGTCGTGTAGTATCGCGTCGTGTAGTATTGTGTCGTGTAGTATCGTGTCGTGTAGTATCGTGTCGTGTAGTAACGTGTCGTGTAGTATCGCGTCGTGTAGTATCGTGTCGTGTAGTATCGTGTCGTGTAGTATCGTGTCGAGTCATATCTGTACGTAAAATACGCTCCGTATGTGATGTCCTATTGTGATGTCCGTCATGTCATATCAATCATGTCATATGTCATTTTATGCCCGTCATGTCGTGTTCGTCACGTCACGCTGTTAAAAAAACGACAATTCGAAAAGTGAGTTTACTCAGCTTTATTAAGTACCCTACATTATTTCAACATAGGTTTGTGGAAGTCAACGTAACAACGCCATATATATTCACCAGTCCCTGTCTATTCACTAAATTTCAACCGGATAATTTTTAATTACTAACATATACTGCTTTTACTACTTAATAAACGTCTAAGCCCAATAAAAGTCTTAGCCCTTACAGTAAAATTACAACGACCCCTTGTTGGGCCCAACAACGGCTCACACCTCCCAACACTGCCCCCCCCCCCCTCCGTCACAAAAAAACAACGCACATCCGTTTGGAAGAACTAGCTTCAATTTTCCATTTCATTTTCAATTCCAATGTCTCCTACAATCCGCCTGTGGCCGCCCATGATTGCGGAACTGTAACTACAAGCACAAATCCATCTTCAAGCAATATCCTTGATAAACCCGCATCGCCTAGGGCTAGCGACAGACAACTGCGTTGAAGGAGTTGTCCAATTCTTTGACTGCGTTTTATGCATCAGAAAAATCATTGCAATTTTCGTTTTCATTTGCGTTATTTGAAGCAGAAAGAGAAGAAATTACTCAAACTCTTGTTGGAGTTTTAGATTGGAACAGAATGCATAGTTTAAAATGTTAGATTGTTTTATTTCTTTAAAGTTTTACCATGAAAAAAAAATGGCAAGTCTGGTTTGGGTGGACTCAGTGACGTTCTACTGACTTGAACCTGATTCGAACTCGAAATCTTCGGATTAGCAGCCTATCTCCATCTCTAGGCCACGTCTTCCCTCAATGCGATTGATACAACTTGTGTATATTGGTTAGTCTTTAACTCCCCCCCCCCACCTCACAAATCGGTCATCCCTTGCATAAATTAAAACTGTTGCTGATTTCAATTTTTTTTTTAAACTATCTGTGTCACGAGAGTGTTAATATAGACGCTAACATTTTATGCTTTAAAAAATGGTCCACTTATGACGTCAATAAAATCTCGTACCAACAGAAGCATCTACATCTGCCTTTTCAAAACGTCACTGCAGCCTCCATATACCTGCATATACCTGTCAAACACAACTTGATATTTTCAAAACACCATTACATCTTCTATTTCCCTTTCATACCAAACTTATTTAATTCCTGCCCGCGGTCTGGGGGGGGGGGGGGAGCCAGAGTCACGTGGAAGTAGCGCGGCACCCCCGGGGCGTCATCATTAATTCAACGACTCCCCTCTCTGGTTCTCATGTATCCATTGACGCCATCTCTACCAACCTCCTCTTCTTAGTTTTTAATTGAACTATCGGTTACTTTAAAATACGCCCTATGTCCCAACTATCGGTTACGTCAAAATACGCCCTTTGTCCCGCCATGGACTAGTTGATTGGACCCCGTTTGTGTTGTCGTTAGCGAAATGGCTTTACGGCGAAACATTTGTATCAATTATACAACAGATTTGCTGTATAATACGATATTTATATTTCTTTTTATTCTGCATATTTTCCCGTTTCGCGAGTGGATGGTAAATCGAACACCCGTTCTCGGGCAGATGAGGCTCGTTAGCTGGGGACAGCCACTCTTCTAGGAGAGTGTGAGGGTGGTGATTTTAAGAGGGCGTCAACGAATGAATCCAATAACACACAGTTCAAGTTCAACTATAATTGTTCTTTATTAAAATGATATATATGTTCAAGTTTCTACCTAACTGATCTACACTGTACTATTTACTTCTACTACTGACTGTTCACTATACTACTAACTACGCACTCCCATGACCAATCCTAACACTAACTACTGTTCTCTACATAGCTACATCTGCTCCATTCTACAACCTAACACCTTCTCTACTCCTCGCTAGCTACCTATCAACTCCTGGCCTATCGCTCTACTGCCCCACGCCTCAGTGGTCAGCTGACCGTCCCACGTGACCGGTCAGTCCTGTGCGCCCATTGGCCTCTCTACCCAACCAACTAGGCCTATAGTCTGTTTCTGCTAACCTATATCTGCTAAACATGTCTGACGTAATCTTGCGTCATCACATATCTCCCTCCCTTTCTGTAGCTGACAAATTATATTTTTCAGCGTCTGCTACTAATCTAAAACATCAACTACTATCTATCTTACTACTCTATTCTATCCCTAACATCAATCATGTAAATCAAATACAAAATGGGACAGCACAGTTTACAAAAACATAAAATCTTGTGTCTGTGTTCCTGAAAAAAAAAATGTCATTGTTTTCGTTCTTGAAATCTTGTGGTGTGACTGGTGTCTCTGCTTGCTAATGTATGTCTATGTTATGGTACGTGTGAATTCAATCATGTGTAACTCAGTTTTGGCTAGGTTGTCGTGTACTGGCCTTGAGCTAATCTTAGTAGAATGTGTAGCTGGTTGAACGGGCTCTGTGAGCAGTGTAAGTGTATGTGTAAGTGTTATGTAATTGCTTGCGTTCCTCTGTGGTGGGTGGGTTGTGGCGAGTTTTAATGTAAATTCCCGTGAGGCGGGTGTAGGCGTAACTTTCGTTGGTCAATGTGATGACGCAACAATCTCATCTCAACGCTGGTTGAGACGTCCACGCAGAGTGGTTATACGATGAACTGGAGCTGTCTGATGCGGTGGCGAACAATGACGTAACGTTCCGACGCTGGGAACTTGGACGATGGGTCTTCTACCCTTTGTATGTGCCGACGTAGGTGTTCGTAGCTGGCGGTCTGTTATTCAACTCCAGTGCGGGGGCGAAGCGGTGGCGATGCGTCCGCTGTCTTGACCAGGGCAATTCTCTGTTAAGCAGGGCTGTTCGCTGTCCAGGTAATTCAACGTAATCAGGGTTTCAGGTGGCGGCACTCTTTGAAGTGTCGGCTTCATCTCGTCTCATTCTGAATAGCGCTGGTGGGTCTGAAATTGTATTACGAGACCATGAGCAATGGTTTTACGTGACTATCTTAGTGCCCGCGCAGACAAGTATTCAGACAGAGGTACCTTCCATTAAAAAAAACCTCAATCCCAAATTTAAACGTGCTGAACATTTGTCTGGCGGTACATACAGTATACAAAAATAACATTACAAAATTAACCAAACAAAAAAAATCAGTACACTCTACATCTAACAACAATCTGTAAAGCCTAATAAACACAATAGACGTAAACACTACTAGAGCTTAGAAATAGCTTCACAAAAAGAATAGACATGTAAGTGTATATAATATATAAGTAATCGTGCCGTTTCAAATCAACATTTGAACACGTAATCATATAGTGGAGCAGCTCTCACTATCTGACTTCTGACAAAAAAAACTGGCTGGCTTGACTTAATGACTGACTTCACTTTTGACTTCAGTAACTTGACTTATTTCACTTTGACTGACTTCAGTAACTTCACTTATTTCACTTTGACTTCAGTAACTTGACTGACTTCAATTTAACGACTGATTCCACTTTGACGACTTCAATTACTTCAACTTGACGACTAACTTCACTTTGAAGACTAACTTGACCTCGACGACTTCACTTCAATTCAACTTAAAAGACTTCACTGACCGACTTAAACTTCGACGACTTTAACGTCTTCACTTTGAATTCAAAGACTTTTCCTTGACTTCAACTACTTCAATATGACTTCAAAGACTTTTCCTTCACTTCAACAACTTCAATATGACTTCAAAGACTTCACTTTGACTTCAACAACTTCAATATGACTTCAAAGACTTCACTTTGACTTCAAAGACTTCACTTTGACTTCAACAACTTCAATATGACTTCAAAGACTTCACTTTGACTTCAATGACTTCACTATAACTTCGACGATTTCACTTCTTCACTATGACCTCAACGACTTTAATAAACTTCAAAGACTTTTCTTTGACTGCAACATGACTTCAACTACGTCACTATGACTTTAACTACGACTTCAACAACTTATTGACTGACTTGACTGACTTCAAATAACCTCTTTGACTTCAGTTCTGACTTATACTTCACTGACTTCAATAACACTATTGACTTCAGATTTGACTACACTGACTTCAACTTAAACTTTTATCGACTTCATGCCGATTTTCTCGACTTCTTAGATCAACACAAAAACTCGACTTGACTTCACTATTATGTCCGTTGTTCAAAATCATTTGTGGGGGCGGTCCGGGTCACATTCTTGGTCATGGGGTTGATGTTCTTGGGCAGTTGCGTGTTATCTATGTGCTGTACTTTCCGTTTCTCTAATTCTAACGCTAACTCTGCTTTTGTTCTTGACATGTCTTACTATCTTGACTATCTTGTTTCTTAACTTATTCTCTACAAATGTTTCAACTTCTTCTCCTGTTTTGTCTAATGGTATGCCATGTTTATAGCATTGAAACTCTGCCTCCATGGTTGTGTATGTGTGTGTGTGTGTGTAGAGGAAAGTTAACAAAACCAAGAAAACAGGGCGTAACATAAGAATGTGTAAGGCAGAAAAACCGCTGGCACAAACTATCCAGCACGGCTCTAAACCCAAACGTTTAAAAAAATTTTTGGAAGGTACTTATCTTTTATCTTTTTGAATATGTTGACAGTTCCCTTGTGTTGTTATTCAAAATTCGTTCCGGCTGAAGAAACCCGCTGTTGTGATGAGTTAGAGAAAGCAATACACCAGTCATACTCCGTCATGAATAGCTGATATACGTTCTTTCCCTCACTCGACCCGCTGCTCCACCAATTGTGAGGGTGGAGATTTTAAGATGCGGAACGAATGGATCCCATAACGCACAGTTCAAGTTCAACTATAATTGTTCTTTATTAAAATGATATATATGTTCAAGTTTCTACCTAACTGATCTACACTGTACTATTTACTTCTACTACTGACTGTTCACTATACTACTAACTACGCACTCCCATGACCAATCCTAACACTAACTACTGTTCTCTACATAGCTACATCTGCTCCATTCTACAACCTAACACCTTCTCTACTCCTCGCTAGCTACCTATCAACTCCTGGCCTATCGCTCTACTGCCCCACGCCTCAGTGGTCAGCTGACCGTCCCACGTGACCGGTCAGTCCTGTGCGCCCATTGGCCTCTCTACCCAACCAACTAGGCCTATAGTCTGTTTCTGCTAACCTATATCTGCTAAACATGTCTGACGTAATCTTGCGTCATCACAGAGAGACAACTCCAAAATTAAAACAACTGCTGCCTTGTAGTTTGTTCTTGGTTGGACAAAGGCTATGGAAGCAAATCCAAAAAGAAAAGCAGGCTGAAATCGGAGTCAATGGCCTAATGGCGCATAACCAGTTGACACGTAACGCTTAATTGTGTTGGAGGCGTGGTCGAGTCGGCAAACAGCTCATGGTTGATAAATTCCAACAAAGTCTCGAGTTCAAACCCACTGGCAGATAAATCTCGACCCCCTTCAACACTAATAATTAAGAACGAAGAAGAAGAAGAACACCCGTTCAGGTTATTAGACACGCCAAGACATCAGAAATAAGGTGTGTGGGTGGGTGTTAAACAACATGGTAGACGATATTCAACGTCGCCGTGGGAAAATGGTGTTTCAGGGGAAGTCATTCGTGTTCACAACAACGAGTCTTAGCTACTCAGTTATGCCATTCAAAACTAGAGACTGCGAAATTAAAGGATTTTTTAATGGCATTAGCACGAATGAAATTAAGAATAGGGTATTATTTTCCACGAAAACTAAAAATCCATGCAGAGTTTTATTTAAAGTACGGCGCCTGTACATTCACCGATACCTTAACCACGACATTTAAACCATATGCTGAAAGTCCCAGCTATAACCCAGGTATATGCCTACCTATATGCCCAGGTATATGCCCAGGTATATGCCTACCTATATGCCCAGGTATATACCTACACATATGCCCAGGTATATACCTATATATATCATTATTATCATCATTTCCCGTTCGTGCAGAAGACACATTTATACATTTATATAGAAAATATTTACTTTTAACATTGTCCCCCCCTCTCTACACTTCTGAAATTTTAAATACCCCCCCCCCCCCCGGAAGTTTCAATAGCCCCCCCCCCCCCACCACTTCCGGAAAAAATGTCCGAAAGAAACCCTGCTGACAATATAAGCGTCGTTTTTTCTCTAGCTGAGCGTCACAATATGCGGACAGAGAGGGGGTCCGATTGGCTCCTGGTGACACCATTTAAGGGGTGAATCCTAATCGAAAAACAAGTGTAAAACTTAGCCAAAAAATGTTTTCTTCAGTTAAAATAAGAAGATAAAAGGGAGGGTGACACCTAACCGAAATACAAAATTATTGGAGGAAGGGTGGTTAAGGGGGTGACAGCCTTAACCACCGCACCGGATTACACCCGAACTACTGGCGCCACTGGTTAGGCCTAATGCTAACCACACTAACCCTGTATGTGCTAAGGCCAAAGGACAAACTCTAATTCATCTGCTCTAGAGATTGTGATATAAGAGTAACACGGTTTTTACGTTTTGTAAAAAAATTCGCACAATATTTATTACTGAACTTAATTTTTAACGCATTTCATATCTTTCAATTTTGTTTCCGTGACATTGCAATATTAGAGACGTTAAAAGAAACAGGCGGATTAACTGCGGTTCAAAGTTAAGATGGCAAGTTGCTGATCGGGTTTCAATACTTTTTTGTCGTGTGTGGCGTCGACTTAATTAGAAAGGAGCGGAATGGAAAGAACAATCTTGTGGTTTAAAATCGTTCTTGAAATTTCGTTTTTAAAATTACATGTCAAGAATCTGCTTTTCAGTGCACTAAACCGCAAGCAAAATAAATTAAAAACAGTTTTTCTGTAGATTTTGATCTAAAAACTTTGGACGTACTCACAATCTCAAACATGTTTGAAATTTTTATTTTTTTTTAGCTGATTACAGAAATATTCACTTCCGTTGAAAAGTCCAGATTTATATAGATATTTTAGTTCATATGCCCGGATTTTTATTTTAGTTCACAAGTCCAGATTTATATTTCAGTTTACATATCTAGATTCATATTTCACTTTACATGTCCAGATTTTTATTTCAGTTTAATTATCCTTATTGGCTTTTGAATTTGGTATTAAACATCGTTTAACTTTAATTTTTTTTTTACATTTTTTGTGTGCAGGTGACGAGGTTAAAGGTCGTGCCCCACGATCAGGCCACCGTGGACAGCATGAACCACTACGGCGGCAACGGCTGCGGCAAGCCCCACGCCTGGGCTGTGGGCCAGGAACAGGACGTGACGTGGACGGGGGGCTGCGTCACCCTGGGGATCCGCCTGCCCAACATGGAGCGAGACATCATGAAGATGGAGATCGTGCACCGACGTCTGCACCTGTACGTGGGTCAAAGACTGACCGACAAAAAACCGGGGACGGTGTACCAGAAGGAGAGGCCGACCGCCTTCCAGGAACCGCTGGTCAAGTGTGATCAAGTCGACCTGGACATGAGCATCAACACGGCGCCTGGGGGGCATGGCTGGGCAGGGGGCATCGCGCTGCCCTTGTCTGCAGGAAACGATGATTTTAATCTCCGTAACAGAGGGTCCGCGTGTCAATGCTGGCTGCCAGTTCTTGTTTTAGTTTTTAGCATTGTCAGACTCGTGTAAAAAATGTTTCGGTTTTTTGTTTCGTTTTCTTTTTGTTTGTTTTTTTTTTTTGTTGTTGTTTTTTTTTTTTGTTTTGCTCTTCGTGTCGAATATCCAGATATTTATTAACTAAAAATTCTTTAACCGAGTTAATTTTTATCTTCGATTACCAAAAATGTATTGTTTGTTTTTACGTTAAATTAAATTTAAAACTGAAACGTAATTCACGGATAAAAATGTATCATGGTTAAAAATTTATTTTTGATATTTCCATGTAAAACGCAAAATAAAATTCTTGAAAACTCAGTAACGCTGGCACGTAAAGGAAAAAAAAAATACCAGAGGCTAGCTTAGGGCACGGTGAAGTCTAAGAGGCTGGAAATTGGCGGGAAAGAGCTGCAATTATTCCAGACGAGCACATTTGTTCAGATCTGAATGTATAAACTACTGGCTGTCCCCCACGTGACTACCGTATTTCTGCTTCATTTATTTCAATTGCTCTTTTTCTCGCCTGCAAAAAAAAAATAATTTTAAATTCTGGCCTAACCGGCATATATGTAAAGTGGGTGAGTGTGCACTATCATGCCTGTAGCGCCTACCACTCTGCCAGATTTTTCTGCAATTATTTTTCTCCGTGCAAATTTATAGGTCTTATTAAGTTGTTTTGTTAAGAGGAAAATAAGAATTAATTATAAAAACATTTTTTTCCATCAATGGCGTATTTTCCGTAATTATTTTACCTTAATGTAAAGTGTGCGCTAATTATGTTTTACCCATTAATGTCATGTTGTAATTTAAACATAACAACATCTATGTATTAAAAAATCATCCGGTCTATTTAAATAATTAATGTCATTCTTATGGGAATTCATCTTGTATCTAAATTTGCAATTTTTTTTTCTTTTAAAGCAAATTCCATTGTTTTAAACCTGAAAAGCAAACAATGTTGTTGATTTTTCAGCTGTCCAGAATATCAAATCAGAATATCAAACTACTAGGTATATCTACGATCTAACTATCAAATACATTTTAATGTCCTTTACAATTTTATTTAAAGCTCAAGTATAGAAAATGCAAAAGTTTAAAAAACATTGACTATGAAATCGAGGAAAAAAAAACAGTATATTGATTGAGTTTTTATTCCAGCGTTTCGATTGGAACTTCTAAAAAAAAACACGAAAGAAAAAAAAACTTTTTCAACGCTTTGGTTATGCGTGTGTGAGAGGGTGGAGGGGGGGGGGGGGTAGGATGTGGGTTAAAAGATTCAGTTTTAGTGGCAGCCTCCGCTCTCGCACTGTTAAAAACATTGGAATCTGTTTCGTGTGTTTTGGTAAGATGAAGGTTAGAGGTCAAGCCGGGTGGGGAGGGGGTGAAGGTCGTGTCTTGTTGTGGGTTGGTTACAAGAAAAAACAAAACACGGAAGTCATTCCAGGGGAGACTACCAAAAACTCTTCACCGTTTTAAATTCTTTATTATCTGTAATCAGATGCTGATTATCCCCCTTCCCACCCCCTCACACACCACCCACACTCCATCCCACATCACAGTGAGTAACTCATTGTTTACATCACAGACAGACGCGCGTGGTTAGACAAGCCAAACATGGCCGTCTACGTGTGCACGTGCCCACGACATAGAGAGCAACAACTGGCTACTGTGCTCACGGTATTGTTCTCGTTTGTTTTTCTATTGAAGACTAATTTGATACACATGTTCTGGTTGTGCCCCATACACCATCTGGTGGTATCGTTAGAGTTAACTCACAACTCATGTTAACTCATGTTTAACTCATGTTTAACTCATTTGCGATGTTTACGTCATGTTCATCTCATTTAGTCATGCTGACGTCATGTTTAAATAATTTGTCCAGTACAAGTCTTGTACAAATCATCACTCAAGTTAACTTTATATTTTCGTAAATGTCGTATTTAACTCATCAGTTGTGTTAACTTTATGTAAACTTTAAGTTTAACTCATCAGTCGTGTTAACTTCAAGTTTAACTCTATAGTCGTGTTAACTTCAAGTTTAACTCATCAATCGTGTTAACTTAAAGTTAAACTCATCAGTCGTGTAACAATACGTCATATAACATTAAGTTAAACACACCAGTCGACTTAACAAATATGTGATCCATCATTTACATCGACACCACATTAAACTGATCACTGATCCAGTGACTGTGGAAAGACAACTGGTGTATTTGTAATGTTTTTTTTTTTTTTTTTTTTTTTTTTTGTAAATAACTCTACAAATAGTAGGTTATCATTCTTTTATTATCTGGCACTTAAGCAAACTTCTGGATTAACCTATATAGTCGAAACGGAGTCGCTGACATAGACCATATCGTGGAAGCCAAATTTATGATTTATTAATAAGCCCGAACTGTCGAAAAAAAAATGTATTTATATTATTTTGTGTACTTTTACTTAAAAAACACATTTGATTAAAACGAATTTAAATAAATTACAAATTTTTATTTTGGTTTTTCGTTTAATCGTAGTGCAAATATAATCACATAATCGATTTTTTTTCGAATTCGTTATTCTTTTTACCTCAACACTTTCGTTTCGACCATATGGGCTAGTACCAAATCCTTTACAATGAAAACCACAGTTCTATGTTAAAAAAAAAATAATTTAAGTATCTTACCTGTTTCGTCTAAACAATGAAAGTATAATGATTTTCTTAAAACAAAATATAAATTTTCTCGCAGTATATATCACATTTAACTTTAGTTGATTTTTTTTTTATAAGTTAAAAATATAATTGTTAAGAAAAACAGGAAATGTGTTTGTTGGTTGGTACTGCCTGAATGTTAATGCCGTCGACATCGTTTGTATTTAATTATTGCATTGTCATTTACAGGCGTACAAATGTCAACACGTTTATAACTTTTTTTTTAAATCATCAAAACGGAAATGTTTTCAGTGGCGTAGCTAGGCGGGGAGGGGAGGGGCGTCAACCCCAGTAAACACTTATTTCTATATCAGTACAGGTGTCGATTTAGTCAACACTTAGCGCCCACCATCGCAGCTACGCCGCTGTCAATGAAATTGACTGTGTCTATTTTTAGACCTCGTGAGCACGAGAGTAATGTCCGCCGTTTGTTTACAAGAAAATTGTTAACCATCTATTTATAGTCACAACTATTGTTGTCTCCCCACCCCCATTGTGTTCCCTTGTCACCAAGTCAAATAAAATATTGTTTTCCTTTAAATAAATTATGATTTTTTTTTCTTTTGTGTTTTTTTTTTCGTTGTTTAACCTAGATTATAGACTGCTAATCCGAAAGCCTCGGGTTCGAATCCTAGTTTAACGTCAGTAGAACGTCCACGCAGCCCAGACAGCTACCTAACTCATTTTAGGGATAAAATACTTTAAAAAAACTTTTTAAAAAACCACGTTTTTCTTGTGGACTAAAAAGTAGAAAATAACTATTTACATACATTTGATGACAAAAAACGTGGGTACGTTCACCATCAAATTTCCCGACCCATCTGCCCGACCCACGTTTTTTGTCATCAAATGTATGTAAATAGTTATTTTCTACTTTTTAGTCCACAAGAAAAACGTGGTTTTTTAAAAAGTTTTTTTTAAGTATTTTATTTTCTCCTTTTTAGTCCGTTGCTACACATGAAAAACGTGGTTTTTTAAAAAAGTTTTTTATTTAGTTTATTTTCTACTTTATCCAATGACTTGATAAAGTATGACTTGACTAAGTGTTTATAAATACACGGACTAAAAATCTTGAGCGACCAGGATTCGAACCTGGGTTGTCGCGGCCACAACGCGAAGTACTAACCACTATACGATCACGGCCAGCGCGCTCACATCGATTGGGGCCGAAGTAACTGTGTCAATAGGCCTTCAGTCTTGTCGGTATCTTTAGAAATCATGTCCTCAATTGTATGGTCCTTAGGGCGTAATTAAATTAAGCTAATTACGGTCTCTAATTGCTAGTTTTTATGATTGCATCTGAAATTGTTAGGCGAAAGTAGCCTGCATGCCAAATTTCAGATCTATAGAGCAATCAGAAGTGGGCTAATTTTCGATGTCAATTTTAACAACAAACATCCAAACAACCAAACAAACAAACAAACGCGAAGCTGAGTTAAGAAAAACGTGTTAAAAATTAAGTCGGCTGGGCGTAATGCTGGCCAAACTATCCCTTCATATGCCGAGGAAAAGCATATGACTGCTAATTCCAAAATCTAATAACAGTTGCCTTGTAGTTTGTATGGACAAAGGCAATGAAAACAAATCCAGAAAGAAAAGCAAGCTGACATTGGAGTCAACAGGCTATATAAAGCATAACATGTTGATACTTAATACTTAATTAACTGCGGCGGAGGAAATTCCCTCTAATATTACAACTAAGAACAAAGAAAAACAATACATTTATTTCATATAAACACAAGGTGCCAAACCTTATTGGCAAACAAAACAATTTTTTTTTAACGAGCCACAAAACACGTGATAAAAAAACCCAGCCAATATATTCCAGAAACCGCAGCAGAAAGTTATTAGACAAACCTGGCTCTAGACGTCTGCTCACGGAGGTCACAATCTACTTAATTCCTTCATCTCCCGGGGTCAAGCCCGTGTGGCCGAGCACAGCTTTGAGTGATGGCCGCTGTATATTACAATCTATATTGGTTCAATACCCCCCCCCTCCACATCCATGCACGTTGTTATTGATGAGAAAAGAAGTAGGGGGATTTGTTGTCGAAGAATGGAGAGCCGTCTCTTCTTATCGCAAACTTTCAATTTGGGATACACAAAAAAAATATTGTGTGTAGGATACATGACTTGCTTAGGAAGCACGTTCGCATATACATACATACATAATTAGATATATCCTGACGTATAAAGAGACATACACGTGAATGCTCACGTGAGTATGAATGCGAGATATGTATTGTATTCAATGGGTACCTACCGTCACAGCAACAGCCACAAAATATAACATGTGTCCAACTAGCGACTGCCATTATAGAGAAACAGCCTCAAATACAACACATGGCTATCAAGAGAATACCAT